TGAAAAAAAACAGATTTGAAAGATAAATTTCGTGGTTTATGCTGACAGCCTGAAATGTTTATGTACGACAGATATATTTCTCTAGAATTTAATTGCCGATAATTAAGGGTGCATATAACACACGAGTGCGTAATGTACGCGAATAAAAAAAGTCTTGTGAATATTGATCAGTCGGAAGGGGTGCTAATTGGGATTGTTCACTAGCCAATATATTAGCAAATACCGCCGTGGGCGCTTATTAGAGCGGGGCGCTTATTACGTCAAATACGGTATCTATAATTTACACCAGTGAAATAAAATAGATAAAACAGATATGGAGATAAAAGCCATGATGCATTGCCAAAATGCCATGGATGAAATAGGACAATGGTACAGGGTCATGGGTTCCAGATTATGGTCATTCAGGAAACCGGAACACACATAATTCTTTGGGAGGCCTGAACAATGAATCTGCTGTATACCAATATTATTTGGACACTTACATGATTTCTCTACATTACCAAAATTTCCAACAAATCTTAAGGACATACCAGATGACAATCAGTCAAGTTCCTGAATGATGCACTACCGTATTCGCCGTAATAAGCGCCCAGGGCGCTCTCAAAATTAGAAATAGGGGGCTCTTATTAGAATATTATTTTGGTGAAAAAAACAGAGTTGAAAGATAAATTTTGTGGTTAATGCTGACAGCCTGAAATGTTTATATACGACAGATATATTTTTCCAGAATTTAATTGCCAATAATTAAGGGTGCATATTACACACGAGTGCGTACTATACACCAATAAATAGGTCTTGTGTACATTGATCAATCGGAAGGGGTGCTATTGGGATTGTTCACTAGCCAATATATTTGCAAATATCGCCCTGGGCACTTATTCTCTAATAAGCGCCCACGGCAATATTTGCTAATATATTTGGGCGCTTATTACGTTCAATACGGTAATTTGAAAGCCTGATCCACTCTTATACTTCAAACTTGTCTGACATTTCAGTAATGAAACAATACTTGAGATCATTTTATAACAATAATAAATGAGGAAACAACTAAACTATGTTTCAAACTTTGTACTTGAGCCATTCCATGGAATACATAGCCCTCAAACCTTTCAATAAAGAAAACAATGATTATAGAAAATGATGATTGTGTTCATTCTCTTTAAGTCATCATGGCTCTGTTTAAATGTGTAACAACAGAGCAACAACACTGTAGTTATACACTGCACATGCATGTTACATATGCACATTTCCTTCTCTGAAACCAAACAAATCCTTCAACAAACAAACACAACTGCATTCAACAGATCACACATTTCCTCCAACTTAAAACCACATCATTTGAACCATCCGTTATTTATCTAAAGCCATTTAGTGCCACAATAAACATCCAAGCGTTGCGTTTTACTCTGCATCAGAACCTAATACCCAATGATGCAATACTTGGCCTAAGGCCACTCTAACAAGATCATCGTATTCTCGTCTTGGCTCGGAAACTCTCTCAAGAGGTTTTATGTTTGCATAGTGTTTATTATCCCTGGGTGTAGATGGTGTAGGTAGACCACAGCGCCGAGGTTTTTATATACTTGGCTGCTGCTGCTGCTGCTGTTATAAGCATTTCAGGGGATGGGGGAGGAGGGAACATGGCCAGATGTGTCTTGCTTTTTCACAGACTTCCACACTCAAGGTCCTCATGTTGAAATGTTGTGTTGATTATATGCTAGTTATGTCGAAGGAATGAGATCACATGTTTAGTTGCCTTGCGCGGATATGATACAGAAATATTATTCTACATGAGGCTGATCTGTAGCATTGGGGCCGATGCTGTGTGCTTCAAGGACAAACTTTCATAGTACCCTTATCAAAATCCTAACCGAATTGACTAATCAGTTAAATATCAGTTATACAATATCATACCATAAATTTCAAAAGATTAACTTCCTGGAAAACTAAGTAACATTTTCCGAAGGACATGTAGTGAAATTTTGTATTATCCAGAGTGAGTGAGTGAGAGAGTGAGTTGGGTTTTATGCCGCTTTTAACAGTATTCAAGTTATATATCGCGGCGTGTCAGCTTGATGTGGGAGGAAAGCCCCAAGTGATGCCAGTCTCAGATGTTTACCACTTCGATGAAACCCATGAGCACCGGTATGGTGCTGACAAACCTAGAAACATAATTGGGGAGAACCAGGATTCAAACCCACAATCATAGGTTTCTGGCGTGCCCAAGGGACGCAACTCTGCATAGCGAATCGCCGCGCCTTAGACGCTGCATTATCCAGAAAGAGTACCACAAAATACATCAATCACCATGATGAGCCAAACTTCTCACAATAACAATCCAACACTGACAACTTTCCAACAATAAAACATTCCTACCAAAAAAAACCCCATTTGTACAAATTGTAAAAATCATGAAAATCAGAGCATGAAAAACACCCATGGAGCCACTCTGGAAAGACAAGCAGGATAGACTCAAGGAAGAAAGGGAGCAGCCAACAGCGCCACCTTGTGGCAATGTCATAAGAAACATGCGCATCCACTGAGTAATGGACAGTTAAATGATGAGGGAGTTACCAGAAACCATACCACCAGTCCATATGGTTTCCACTGATTCAGATTCATCTGCCAGAAGGCAATCTCACTGATGTCCCGTTACCTCCATCCCGAGATGCAAGGTACCTAACTGTTGTAACTGCCTAGAACAGGTACCCTGGGATATCACTCTGCCAGAGGTCACCACGGGTCACATGATCAATCAAAGTTAATAGCATGGGCTGCGCTTCCTACAAATAACATGTGCAGAATTATTTCAGTGCCCTAGTTTTGTCGACATGATTAGTGAACACTACCTCAAATGTGACTTCACAAACTTCAGGATTAATACAGAAGGTGCAATCATGCAATAATACTGACATGGTACTTTGGGAATCCTGTAATTCATGAAATTTGACTAAAAATAAATAAATATTTCAGGTAAATCCTTCTTGAACAAGAACAGTAGAACCACATATCACATCTTTATTTGTAGTCAAAACGTTCGCCTCTTAAGTTCGACCCCACAATACATAAATCAACCATAATCCATCCACAGATACAAAATAGCTTAAACTTAAAACACAATAAAACAAGTGTTTATAATGACAGACCTATCTCAATTTATTATACCAGTACTTATTACCAGCCAATTACTATTACAGCCCGTGTTTTCTTGAGCATGAATAATTAGGGTTTCATGCCCCTTTAACACTATTCCAGCAAATTGTCTGCGGGGGGACACTAGAAATGTCTGTCAGAAATGGCGTGGCAAGCAAATGCTTGGGTATGTGAGTATTGTTTTTAATGACTTTAAGGGATATTCTATCAATATCATTGTTATCATACGTGGAATCAAACCCTTGCCTTTGGCAAATGAGTGCTTTAACATTCCCACTATCCTACTGCCCTCATCATCCATGAGCTCTGAGCACACATATGAAACATTGAGCTCTGAGCACACATATGAAACATTGAGCTCTGAGCACACATATGAAACATTGAGCTCTGAGCACCCATGAAACATTGAGCTCTGAGCACACATATGAAACATTGAGCTCTGAGCACACATATGAAACATTGAGCTCTGAGCACCCATGAAACATTGAGCTCTGAGCACACATATGAAACATTGAGCTCTGAGCACACATATGAAACATTGAGCTCTGAGCACACATATGAAACATTGAGCTCTGAGCACACATATGAAACACTGAGCTCTGAGCACCCATGAAACATTGAGCTCTGAGCACACATATGACCAGTCCAACTGATATTTTACTAGACTGAGGCTCCAGGCCAGGGGTTAAATCCAAGGACTACAAACACACATATACAAGGTCCACCTACAGTCATACTATCAGCCTGGAGCACACTTTTTCTCCCTGCACTGAGCGACCATCATTTGAAATCAACTATGATGGAATCTAATGAAGCCTGGCAACTGTGGGAGGTTTAATGCTAAGTCTGTCATTAAGTGTGCCCTGACTTCACCTTCACTATTGAAGATGAAAGATGGCAGCAGTAAATCTATTTAGCTTCCTGTAACTCTGGCACTAGATTGTCTTCGGTGGTTATGTGGCTACACACAAGCCAACTTCTTCAATCTATAGGTACAGTGCATCTAGTTTCAGTTTGTTAGTTGATTAAAGCCGCACTCGGCATATTCCATCTATTTGACAGCAGCTTGTAAAATATTGAGTGTGGACCAGGCAAACCAGTGATTGATATTGTGAGCAACGATCCATGCCATCAGGGTCACAATGACTTGCAACCAAGCGATCATACGACCAACATAGGTTGCTAGGCACCTATTCTAATCCAGACTCCCCACTGGGGTCCAATTGAAGAATTAGCTACTCTTAGTTGAATTAGAATTACCAGAGATTCATGGCTTTGAAAAGTGAATCAATTCATAGCCATGTTTTCTTTACGTTCATTTTACTTTTCTGAGAATATTGAGGGTTTGTGCAAAATTGACTGATTTATGCACTGATTTATGAGTGCACAACAGTTTTTAAAATATATCTCCATAAATGCAAAATATACTGCATTTAATACTTCAATAACCCCCTAAAATTGCATATCATCTTGATTTGTAACATACTAAGAAGACAAAGTTTGACAAAGATTGACAAACTGTATGTTCACATTTTAGTTCAAAAACACAAACTGAAGGGAGGACTTCTTGGCTAATTTGCTTTTAAGAAGTGTTTAAAAGGAAAGTAAATAAGAGTTTATTCTCAAAAGACAAGACCAATGGGGAATTTTGAAATTTAAACTAAAATAAACAAACTTCACTCTAAATCCTTTGACTCTTCAGTTAACTTTTTCAATCATTTGGTTTAGCTCGTCACCAAAAAAATGTTAAAAGCCATTTGTAAACGGCCACAGTTTGTTTACTGAGTCTTTCCTGTGTCCACACCAGTGAAAATAGCAGCGTCGCTCAATGTAAACGCTCGGCTGTGCTACTGGTTGTTGGAGCAGGTTAGGCCAATGTGTACACATGCATTTAATCGTGGTCTCTCCACTTGCTGCAGATATGTCTCCGTAAACTGTTTCTTACGACGTCTGTTTACGCTAACAATAGGCCCGGACTCTCAGACCAGAAACAAACAAACTTGAGTCGCTAGGAAAGTATGAAGCAGTGATTTATCATAACTCTATCCTTCCCATCTCTTCTCCATGCTGGTGCATAGGGCCAGTACTTAGTGACAAGCCGATGGCCACGAAGCATGAAAAGAGCCACCGTATGACACAGATTGAAGCGGAACATTGAAGGGGCTAGTCGCGTAATCTGTAGGGCTGTAAGAGCACTACGATTCATTATGTACACATGCATTTCATCAGACGGGACTTGACTCTCTATTCATGGGGGCAAAACACAATGACGACAGAAGTAGGAACTTCTAAAGTGCTGGGTGGTTGACTCCCTCTAAGGCAGGAAGCTGACGGGCTATCTCACCGAGATCTAAAGGCCAGGCGAGCTGAGGAAAGTTGGCAGTGCATGAGTAGAGACTCGCTTGAGAGGAAGAGTTGGGAGTCACTCAGGCCTTAGTTGAATGTAGACCAGTCGGTATCCCTGACAGGGTCCAGCTCCCTGACCTTTCCTTACTGCCTAAGGGAGAAGCCAGTGCACTGATTGTCCTGCGTGCTGTTTACTATGTGCAGCTACCTAGAGGTGTAGTGGCTGTCAGTGGGACTGCGTGGTTCATTGGTGGGAGGTGGAGCCAGGCATGCTGTGTATAAGCCCTGCTCATCTAGTGATATAACAGGCAATCGTCAGCACGAGTGGGAAGCTGCCTGGCTTGTTAGTCCACAACAGTAACACTGGCACACTCTGGGATCATACCTCCGGATCTTACGTTTGGTGCACAGTAGCGTTTGTGGCAGCTGTGTAACTGCCGTTATTGGGATATACTGGATAACAAGTGTGACACCAGCACTCCAAGCACTGCTTGACTGATAAACTCCTGGTAAGTTCTCCTAGATGTAGCACCTAACATACCCATCCGACCCGTCCAAGTACTGTTGAAACCAGTGTAGGGAACCATGCTATAACCCCCCTATTTTCAAAATTCAAATCTGTGTCACGGAAGCCTACTTTTCTTTAACCCTTTCCCCCTCAAGTGTAAACCTGCAAAAGCCATCCCAAGCTTAACATACTCCTGCTGAGACTATTCTTTTCCACTTATGGAAATCCTGTGTTTACACATAGAAATTCCTGGCTTTAGAAGTGTATGGGGTGTTCTCCGACCTAATTATTTGGGTAAGACTGTTGTCTAAGCCACCCACAAGTGTATGGTGTTGGCAGTCAGATCACCCACTAATGGTTGGGCTCCCTTAATGTAGCCAACAATGATATGGTCAGACCAGGGAAGCGGGATTTCTCCACAGCTTGGTTTACGGTTGACATAAAAAGAGACAGGCATTGATTCGAGATTGTGAATAGATGGCGTTTCCATGTTGCCTGGTCATAACTGTGGTCAAGCATGTATACTTAGTGTCCACTCTGACACCAAGTTGTCATGTGATAATCATACCAATTTCAAATCAGCATGATTAATGAGAATTTATCTAAGTAGTGTTCATAGGCTATTTCGAAGACAAATTTAGAAAACTGAAAGGACAATTTTTCAATATTAATTGAAACTAAAAAGTCATATGTAATATTTTATAATATGATTCAACATAATTATTATACAATATTCGCAGGACGTGTGTCAAATGTATTTATATCTTGTTGTGAGAAATAAAAGTATACATCATGAGACATTATAACACCTGCAGAAGTCAGGGTTCATAAAACTCCACAAGGTACTAAATCCTGCAGAAGAGTGGACATTTTCTGGGAGAGTAGGGCCCAACAACATTTTTGTGTGACCAGTACAAAATGGGGAAGAAATATAAACCACTTTGCCCGACAGAGTTTTTCTTTATTAAATAGATATTGACATGTTTATGTTAATTTAAACTCTCATGTTGACATGTTTACATTCATTCAAAGTTTCATGTAAACTGCACGATGTCATTACTTGCAGTTAATTTCCTTCTGATGAAGTGGTTATATAAACATGTCATGATGGTAGCCAAATGATTTCCAAGGTGGACCAAAACAACTGGAACCCGTACCAAGCAGAAAAACGGGACTGATAAACACAGGCTATTTTGAACCTTGTCTAATAGCCTGAAGCCTAACAGTAGGAGCTTGCTGTCCATAAATAAGCATGGAGTAATTCACGGGAGATTTATCCTGCCTCTCTGTCAATTTCTTACATTTACAAATTGAGTTATTGTAAGTCCCACACTTCGTGTCTACAAACCGTCTTGAAATGTTGTTACCGTGGTCAACGTAATAAGCGCCCAGGGCGCTCTCAAAATTAGAAATAGGGGGCGCTTATTAGAATATTATTTTGAGTTGAAAGATTGTAAATTTCGTTGTTTATGCCAACAGCCTGAAGTGTTTACATACGAAAGATATATTTTTCAAGAATTTAATTGCCCATAATTAACACACAAGTGCGTATTACACACGAATAAATACGTCCTGTGTACATTGATCAATCGGAAGGGGTGCTGATTGGGATTGTTTACTAGCCAATATATTAGCAAATATCGCCGTGGGCGCTTATTAGAGCGGGGCGCTTATTACGTCGAATACGGTAATCGTGTCAAATCTACCAGAGATATATAAAATCATGTGTTGATGATGTGATAAAAATATACATAGCTACCTCAATATTCTTATAAATACTTTATTGTAAATAAATAGAACTTTTAATATACTACTCAAAAGAAGATAAGGGCCACCCGATTCTTTCAAATTACTATAGTAAACTGTCATGGACCACTGAGGCATGGTGTGACAGACTATGTATATTAACATGAAAGAATCAGGTGGTCCTTAACTTATTTTGAGTAGTATATATAAGAAGGTAGTCCTCTTACTACCATCACTGTAAAGTAGGTGCTTTCAACTAATCAAACCTGGATCTAGATTATAAAATAGACAAGTCTAACTAGCTATAGACTTATGTAATCAGCATTACAGAAAAAAATGTAGAAATGAGAAATGTATTGTTTAAGTGAGTGAATGAGTATGGTTTTACGGCGCTTTTAGCAATATTCCAGCAATATCACGGTGGGAACACCAGAAATGGGCTTCAGACATTGAACCAATGTCAGGAATCGAACCCGGGTCTTCTTCGTGACGAGCCAATGCTTTAACCACTAGGCTACCCGACCGCCCTGTATTGTCTAAAATATAATTTCAGCAACAATATGTTAGTTTAATGAAAAGGTTGCAGTTTTAGTAGAACAAAGTTTGCAACTCATGGTATTATTTGGCTTGGTTTGTCCCAGAAGTCTTTCTCAATAACAATATACCCTGACCAGACTGTTGGTCTGTCAACATGCCTCAATGGCATCATCAGTCAGTGCTCACACTATTGACCACTGGTTTTTCTGGCCACCTCACACAGAACCTGAGATACATCTGTTATCAGAGTTATTACAACTTCCCATACTCCCGCTTCAAAAGTGTCCACAACGATCCAATTTCAAATGCACCCAGCACCCTAATTATGCCAAACACAAGGCGGATACACAACTGAACTTCATAGTTTGATAACATCTACATCGAGACAGCATGGTATTTTTTTTCCAGCATAACTAACATTCTTTTGTTCAGGTCCGACAGCACATCAGTCTTAGTCAATAACCTCCCATAAACAATTACAACAAGTCTACAAGGAACATACTTCGTGATATACTATTTTCCTATCCACAGATAACAAAGCCGGTTGATATAAACTAAACTATTCTTAGCATGTTGGTGATAAATTTCTCGATTAAACAACCATAAAAGCAGGAATTAATTGAACCAAGAAAATCTATTTCTTTCTTTTCAGGCAGTCACAAAAAAAACCTGGATAAGGGAGCCAATCGTTGTCTCATGTTTGTTTTGCGTTTACTATCATCTCTTTAAAGATGATTTCATGTGCATGTTTATAAGGGGAACTGATCTGCAGCCCAGGCAGATGACGACTATTAAAAGTCAATTTCAGTCTGTTCTGTCTCCTTATTCCTCAATTGACTTTTTTCCCTCCCCAAGTATGCTCTGTTGGCGGAAAATTCAATTGTTGCGTCAATTTGCCTCAAGATAGCTCCTGACCTTCAAAATCTGTGATGGTTGCGCTGCTTGACCTGTGGCTATTTGCATACTGTCAGGCTCTGTTCCTATTGTATTTGCCTTCGAAATTGACCGATTGTAATTAAAAAACTGAGTACTTTACGAAACTGAAAATGTAATAGATTTCCCTTTCGGCAAACAAAATGTCTTTTTCATGAACTGGTAAAGACAAAGGCTATGGGGACTGACATTGAGTGCAGCTCATACAAATGCATGCAGGTATTTATGCATTCAAAAGAATGAAATGCATCAACACAAACTTTTCTTTATGACTCAAACATTGTGGTCGAAGAATCAACTATTATGTTTTGGGATAAAACCATCAAAAACTCTTTTGCAAATCTTCTTTAAATTATTTACTATTTACGTAGAATAAATCATTATCACAATGACCCAAGAACCTATCAGTAAACATATTAAGGATATAAGTAGTGCCTAATTCAATAATGAAATGAAATCAGGCTCCTTCTGTGAAACCTGCAATGCAGTTATGGTGGTGAATGGTCCATCTGATGCTGTGGGAGAGGAGGACCACCTGATGCCTAGGATCAGGGGACCCTTTCAAGGGGTCAGAGGCACTGCAGTGGTCAGCTGAGGAAATTGGTCAGTAAATCAGATCAGCGTCCACTGTGTGGTCAGGAAGCTGTCAGTGACGCACAATTACCTGACAATATTGGATATTAGACAGCCATTACCAAGACATTACTGGGACATGCTTGGAATCTGTGATGATTTGTTCAGGCAGGATAAGATATAAGTTTGTAACCTGTCGACCTGAGATGGCACTATGAAGACTGTATTGTCAGATGGATGTCTGGACTGTCAGTCGGTTTGGAGAACTGTTAGCTGCTCAAGAAGATGGTCAGCTGATTGGGTGAATTGTCAGCTGATTGGGTGAATTGTCAGCTGGTTAAAATGATTGTCATCTGGTTGACTACTTTAGTTGATTGGGTGGATTGTCAGCTAGTTAACATGGTTGTCATCTGGTTGACTACTTTAGTTGATTGGGTGGATTGTCAGCAAGTTAACATTGTTGTCATCTGGTTGACTACTTTAGTTGACTGGGTGGATTGTCAGCTGGTTAACATGGTTGTCATCTGGTTGACTACTTTAGTTGATTGGGTGGATTGTCAGCTAGTTAACATGGTTGTCATCTGGTTGACTACTTTAGTTGACTGGGTGGATTGTCAGCTAGTTGGCATAGTTTTCATCTGGTTGACTACTTTAGTTGATTGGGTGGATTGAGGATGAACAATGTACAACACCAGACATTTCTCTGATTTCCACTGCAGTTTTGCCCAATGAACTCAGTTTCATCAAATAATCGAGGATGGTTATTCTCTGGCATTGACATTTTATATTCAACTTCAGCCATTAGTCCAGTAAAATGTCTTGCATGCCCAACTAATAATAGTCCATATATATTTACACTGAAATCCGCTGAAAATGATGCCAAAGACAGTTTGAACAAGTTGATTCAAAAGTTGTTGGCACAGATGGCAACATGATATGCATTGCCATATTTTCTGTGGCTGAGCCTTCAGCTCTGGGAAAAGTATTGGGCGACAAGAATGATTTCTTTATATCAGAAAGTATCTACACACATAGTTGTGATGATGATCACCGACAAGGATGATGCATTTATTAGGTTGAATAGGTATTCAATAACTTTAAAAAAGTAAAGCACAGTTAATAGCATAGTGCCATTTATTCCATACACCTTCAACAATCCTAGCAAACGCCAACATAAAACTACCCTTCATTGCTACAAAACAGTTCGATTGC